AACAACAACAACAACAACACACTTCTCTTGTTCCAGAGGGAAGGAGCCTGATAGTGCAGCAGTTAAGCACATGGCTGCTAACCAAAAAGTGAGCAGTTCAAACCTATCAGGAGAACGTCCGCTTCCGTAAAGATGACAGCCTTCCCTATGGGGAGGGTCTACTCTGTCATACAGAGTTGCTGTGATCAGAATATACTGGGTTTGGATCTTGTTTCAAGGAGTCCCTGAGTAGGGGAAATAGTTAACATGTTTGGCTACTGACTGAAAGTTTGAAGCTCTAGACTGCCCAGAGGTACCTCAGAAGAAAGATCTGGATATCTACTTTAGAAAAATTAACCATTGAAAACCCTGTTGAGCAAAGTTCTACTCCGATATACCTGGGGTTACCATGAGTTGACTATCTTCAAAACCTACTTTCCCGTGTATCCTTAAGGAATGTGGAAGTAAATGTGGGGACTCTGGCTCGAGTCCTGTTCAGCCTAGTCCCCTGTGTGTGTCTCTGAACTTGAGGCTTTCCCACATCCGTGCTCCTGAGCTGAGCCCACTTAGGGCACAGAGTGGGTGCTTGATAAATCTCTAGCAGAATCCATGTGAGCACCTTCCCTTCTGCAGGTAAACCCAGGCTCCCTTCCAGACTGAACTGCTCCGTGGTAGTCTCAGGACCCATCCACCCCTGCAGCTTTCAGGAGACCACTTCTGAGAAAGAGGACTAGACACACAGTGCCACCCTCCAAAGGGAGGTATAAATGACCCCCGTAGGGGCACAGTGCCTTTGTGGGTACAGGTGTTTACCTTCAGGGGCCCAGCTGGGCTCCCCGCTGCTCTGAGATGGAGCCCAGACCTTTAGGTGAGGCCCCAGGTACTTCCCCGCCGTCTTCCCAACACTCCTCGCTCCCTCCCGCTGAAAAGGCTTTAATACTTGTAGGATCAATACATTTAAACCTTTCACAATTGAAAATGTCTGAATATCAAAGAGATTTCAAGGCTAATATGAATGATGCCTTCCTGGTCTGGCTTATTAAGCCCTTTTGCTCATTCATTCATTCATTCAACTGACAAAGCCCCCATCCTTGAAGAGTTGGAGAGGACCACAAAGCCTGTGACTTCTAGGCCCACTCCTGGGGAAGGGTCTGGGTTACATTTCCCAGATGGAGAAGGTGAGTCTAGGGCCAGGTGGGCTCTGAGGGGCTCCACTGCCTGTCCCCCACCCCCACCCCCCATCCCACAGCTTCCTCCAGTGTGAGCTGCACTTCCTCTCAGCCGGCTGCCTCTCTGGGTATTAATAGTATCAGAGCAAATGAGATGTCGGTTGAGTTCCAGACGCAGCAGGGGCGATGTGGGCCAGATACATCCTGACATTCCATCAACACCATCACTGCCACCTGGATGGGCCTGTGAGAGCAGCCACAGAGGTCCCTTTGGGGGTCAGAAGAAATCCACCCCCACCCCACCCCCGCTACGGGGTACGTATCCCATCTCCCAGATAGCCTGTGAGGCCCAGCTATAACGAAGGAGGAGGGCCGGCTGTTCTCATGGTCTTGAGCGCTGGTTGAGGGACAGTGTCATTGAAAGACTTCAGCACCCCCAGCCCAGCATGGGCCTTGAGCTGCAAGACTGGGACCTGGGAGCTCCCATCCTTGAACACTAATATTTTCTTGGAGGGTTGAGCCACAGTCCCTGCCTGGTTGGGAAGGTGCAGGGATGGGAGTTGGGAAAGACAGAAGGGCCTCAGAGACAGACCACTGTGTCCACTCCAACCCCGCCTCTCAGAAAGAAGGGGCTCAGAGAGGGGCAGTGACCTGCTGGAGTCACACAGGAAGTGGCAGCGGCACAGAGGTCAGACCTGGTTTCCCTTCCCAGACTGTGCACTCCACCAGCGGTACCAAGGGAGGAACAGAGGGATGGGAAAGGGCTCCCTGCTCCCCAAAACATAACCAAGTAAGGAAATACGGGACCCCCTCTTTTGCTCTTACCTGTTTTCTAGAGTCTAATGGGGGAGTGAGGATGGGAAAAGCACAGAGCAGTTTTCCAAGAATCCAACTACCCTAGCACCCCAGAACCCTCCTCCAGTTCTGATTCTTTCTGCATCTAGCACCTGGTACTTAGCCCAGAAAGGCCGAAAAGCAAAGCAAAACATTTGTTCAGATATTGGGGTGAGTGGCGTGGGGGACATGGAGACAAACGGGGACAGACAAATGTGTGGTAATTCAACAGTTCCAGCTCCCAGCTCCACTGCCCCCCCTCCCCCCAGCCCCAGGGGTTACTCCAGCCCCCAGGCCCCACCCAGGGAGTCTCAGGGAGAACTTTCCGCCCAGCTTGGCCAGAGTTCACTGAGAACAGGGTCTGTGGTCACCCAGACTACTCAGCAGGAGCAATTGGGTCTCAGGGGGAAACAGCTGAGAGGGGCTGGCCTGGGAGCCCCCCAGTGTCTCTGCCTTCATGGAAGTCCAGGGGAGGGGGGGTGAGTTGGGACTGTCCCAAGTAGGGTCACTTACGTGGGCTGGGAGGTCTTGGACAATCTGCTGTTGTATTTCTGCATGACCCCATGAAACAAGCCCATGGGGGCTGAGGCTGGCGGGCTCTCAGGCATCGAGGTGGACCTGGAGGATGAGGGGCAGGAATGAAAGAGAGAGAAATACTCAGCATAGGAGAAGCGGGTCATAGCTGGAGGCAGCCGCGGGGTGCCAGGGGGAGAGGAGCTGACGGGCAGATGTCTATTCTGCACCACAGCAGATGGCCCGGTCTGCCCTGTGTGCTGGACACAGCTGCTGTGTCTCCAGATTATTTTTGGCCCTTGGAGGAAGCCCTGGGAGAGTTAAATGACCATATAAGACAACAATGAGGTTAACCTCACCCCCACCCCTCGGTCCCCTTCCCCAGCCAACCACGCGGGAGGCAGATATGAAGCAAGGTGACATTCTTCACCCTGGAGGATGTGAGAAGTGGTCAGTTACGGGGCTGGACCAGAGACTCCTGGACAGCCAGGGATGGAGGCCTGAGGAAGGGGGGCAAGAAGAGAAACCAAGCCATGTCTGTGTCCCCCACACTCCCATTAGAGGATCAGGCCCCTCCCCCTCAAGAGTCTGGAGCCAGTAGTGTGCTGGTCACAGCAAAAGAATGGCCCCCAGGGCCAGGGCTGTGGATGGACACAGATTCCAATCACTTCCCAGCCCTGTGGTCTGTGTCTTCATTTCCCCACCTGGAAGATGGCCATGAGTGGCACACAGAGGCAATGCCCAGCACCTGCTGACCTTTCATTTATCACCACACTTCTCCAGCCCTCAGGCCCACCCCCCCCACCCCACCCCTGTCCACCCCCTGGAGTTGTTGTGAGTATGGAGCTGTTAAATGAGGTTCATGTGACCAGCAACAGTCTCTCTCCCAGTAGACCCAGCCAGTCTGTGCACATCTTTGGGGGACCCTGTGGAGCTAAAGGGCTGGGGGCTGAGAGGTTGAGATTGTGACCCGGGAAAGACCCACACGTTCCCAGGACAGGCCGGAACCCATATATTGGTGGTCCCTCTCAAAGGATCAGGTGAAGGAGAGGCACAGAGAGAAGGAAGAACTCATGACCTCAATTGGTTCTGTCTCAGGGCTGGTGCGTGTCCTGGCCAACTCGACCACCATGCCTGTGATCCCTGTCCCCTTCTACTGAGCACCCAGGGTCAGGCAGATGCCACCATCACCTGGGATAATGTATTTATTCTCACAGTCACTCTTGGAAGGCGGCTACTATCACAGCCCTTGTGCAGATGAGGAAACTGAGGCACAGAGAGGGTACATGTTATGGACCTGGCCAGGGCCACAGGCAAACTGGTGGAGTTGCTGGGAGATGCAGGCTGCTCTGAAGGCACCGACATTCCTCCCTCCCCTGTCCCTGAAGACCCCCCTCTCCAGGCCTGAGTCTTCAAACAAGCCTCCGGGGGCCTCCGTTTCCTCATTTGCAAGACCCAACCAGGGAGTTCCTTGCTGCTTTAGTAGCTGCAGGATTGCAGGAATGAGCCCGTGGGCAGGTCTGCATGTAGAACTGACCCAGCGGTGCTGTTGTGGAGCAGGGGGGGTAGGGAATCCTGACTGCCAACTCCTCTAGCCCTGGGAGAGCTGCGTTTGCTAAGCTCTGAGCTGGCCACCCTCCACCCTCACCAGCCCTGTAGCCTTAACGAGGCCCTTGGAGTCTTTTCTCCTGTGGTCCTTGGGACTTGGCCACCCACATCATTGTCCATGTGTGGACCCCAACCATGTCTGGTGGTTAGAATGTCTTTAGTAAGGTAATTTTGTTGTTCAGACACCAAAACTGAAAACAAAATAAACCCACAGACATCGAATCTGTTCTGACTCATAGCGATCATAATGTAGATTTTTCTGAATCTTTAGGGAAGTTGTTGTTGTGGTGGTGGTTATGTGCCATGGAGTCAGTTCCGACTCATAGCGACCCTGCACAGGGTTTCCGAGGCTGTAAATCTTTATGGGAGGAGAAACCCTCATCTTTCTCCCGCGGAACAGCTGGTAGTTTCGAACTGTTGACCCTGAGGTTAGCAGCCTGAATCGTAACCACTATGCTACCTACCAGAGCTCCTTTTAGGGAGAGTAGACAGCTTCATCTTTCTCCCTTGGATCAGTTGGTGGAGTTGAACTATTGACCTTATGGTTAACAGCCCAATGTGTAACCCACCACACCACACGCACAACAAAACAAAGTGCTGCCGGGCCATGTGGCATCGCCATGATGGGTGTGGATCCACATTATCCGTAAGGTTTCCGTGACTGATTTTCAGAAGCAGGTTGCCAAGCCTTTCTTCCTAGTCTCTCTTAGTGTAGAGGCTTCTCTGAACTCGTTTCAGTAGCATATCAACACCCAAGACTTCACTAGCAGCCGGTGGTGACTGAGAATGAGACGTGTGGCCAGGACCTAAACCCAGGTTTTCCCACATGGAAGGTGAGAAATCTACCACTAGACCACAGTGCCACACTGGCAGAAACCCACAACACCATCCCAGACTAGGAGCTGTCTCTGATGCCATAATGACACCAACAGCAGTGGAGCGGCAGTGAGGCTGATCGGGGCAGTGAGAGGACACTGGCAAGAACACCCCGCACGTCTCTGCAGGATGAACGTTCACGAAGCCAGCCCAGACCTCGCCTCATACCCATCCTCCCCACCAACTGATGGAGGCAGTGACTGTGTTGTTCCCATTATGCAGATGAGAAACAGAGAGACTGAGATCAGACCAGCAAAGCTATCCCAACTCTTGCTGGATGCCCTGTGCTGAGGGCTGGGGACCAAGAGCCCAATTCTCTTATTTTTGCTGGTCCTCACAATATTGACTGGCAGGTCCATGGGAGACAAGGATCCGAACACTGGTCTAGGAGCATGGGAATTGAGATGCATTCCTTTGGTTTTGGGGGCCAGTAACTGCTGAGAGTTACTGTTTGTGAGTCTGAGCTGAATGGGGAGCCAGGCCTCTGAGAAATTTCTGATCAAAGCTGGGGGCCCCATTTCCCCTGGAGGCCTCAGCAGGGAAATTCCCAGAAGAGTAAACCGCAGACTGAGTCAGCAGAGGTGAGAGAGCGGGATGTGGGCCCAGGTCAGCCCCGTGTATCTGGGGGCAGGTCTGGGGTGGGGGTGCAGGCTACCCAGAATCTCTATCACCCCATCTTGGAGTCCCACTTGTTCCAGATTTAGCCTGAGGTCAGCCTGACGGAGGGGATGAGCAGGCTGAATTTGCATCACGCACCAGTCCTGGGTGAGCCAACAGATGGGCCAGCCCAGGAAGAGAGGTGAACAGGGCTGGATGCAGACAGCGACAGGAATCTATAGAGGGAAGGGGTCCTGGCATGGCATTGTGGGATAGATAAAGCACTGGACCACAAGGTTGGTTTGAACCACAAGTCTGGTTCTTGGCGCTCCTTGGTAACCCTATGCAGGGTCGCTATGAGTCGGAACCAACTCGACAGCACTTAACAACTCCAAGCCCACCATGTGCCGGTATCCTTACATCTGTCCCCTCCTCTGGCCTGACACCAACCCTGTGATGTACAAAGCCCAGTGCATGGTGGGAACACTATACATTTTCATGAAAAAAGTACTTGAGAACAAAACAAGCAAAAATCTCCACAGGGCTAAAACCCCACGTGGTAATCTTGGTGGTGTGTGGTTTCGGGCCAAGATTTCAATTGCTGGAGAAACAATTGAGTAGGAGAAAGGAAGGGCTGATGGTTTTATAACTAGCCCCAGTCCCATTCCTGAAGGGCCTCTGGACTCAGCCTCCCACCCATGAGAGTTCTGTCTTCCTCTCACCCACTGGCCAGTTGGTCCCTCCAGGCAGGCACAGAGAGGGCCCGAATGCTGAGAAAACAGCAACTTCACGCAGTAGCAACTTCTGCCTTCCCACAGTGCTATCATTCACAAGGTGCTTACTGTCGGCCAAGCCCCAAGCCAGGTACATTGCATAAGGCCTCACATTCAATTCTCCAGTCCACTCTGAAAGACAAGCAGACACTGGGGCTGGCTTCCTCTAGCCTGTGTGGCAAACTCCTATTCATCCTGCAAAGCCCATCTCCTCAATTCAGTGCATCCACCCTTTCTGCATCCCTCCTCTGAAATTGGAGGAGGCTCATTGATGTACTTTCCCTGTGGGTCATCTGGACCTCTGTGCCTTGCCACCACCACCACCCTACCATGAATGGTGAACCTGTGGAGGTCAAGGCCCAGGGCATTGGTGTCCAAGTGCAGTAATTGTGGGTGGCTGGCTTTGCACTGTTTACTGCTGTGCACACATAAGCCCAATCAAGTACCGGCTTCATCTTCCCCTGCTTTGACTTCTTAGAAATGGAACCATAAATAACAAACAGAAATTTGCTGAGGCCACTCTGACTGGTCCAGCCATGGTAGCCAGGGTGGGACGTGGGGTCTCTGCTTTGTTAGTGCATGGACCCTACTTCTCCATGCAAAACCAGGTTGCCTTTTGGGGAAGCCCAGTGGGCCAAGGTTGGCAAGTGATCATCATGTGTGTTTCAAACGTTGTCTCTTACGTTGTGTGGGGAGTGACGTGATTGGGAAATGGATATAGAAAAAGGACTTTCTCTTTCTTTAGGGTGCTGATCAGCTCTCATTTCTAGCATCCCAAAACTCGGATCCTCTTTATGTCCCAGTCACCATCTCCATCACAAGAGGATAGCAACCAATCCCATTCCTAGAGCATTGTACTGGTTTCCAAATGCCCTTATTTGCCTATATGCTTTCATTGACTGCCTAGAAGGATACACGCTCTTCACTGGGCATGAAGGCTACAATGTTGAAGAATATTTGCTGTTTGCAAGGAGTAACTGGAGACGCTATCAAGAGGCCAGACTGCACCTGCCCAGGGTAGCAAGCTGTCTGGGAAGCAGGGACAGTCACAGAGGTGGACATGAGGTGGGGTGGGGGACTAGGGGGTCCACACAAGCTGCAGAGGATGAGGAAGGCTCCAACACCCACCTCATCATAGTTACTTTCCATAACAATATTGCAAGATGGACAAGGCAAGTATCTATTATTGGGATTTTAGAGATGAGGCTGTTGGGGCTCAGAGAGATTAAGCAACTTGCCTAAAGTTACACAGCCAGCAAATGACAGAGAAAGAATCGGAACCCCAAGCTCATGTTTTTTTCCATTTTGACTCTGCTATCTCTTCACTCAAAGGAGCCTGGTGGCTCTGTGGGTTAAGTGTTAGGCTGCTAACTGCAAGTTTGGCAACTCAAGCCCACCAGCTGTGGGAAGCTGAGGCTGTCTGCTCCCACAAAAATTTACAATCTCAGACACCCCAGATAGGGTCACTATGACCCGCTGGCAGTGGATTCACCTCGTCACTCCTTCCTTTGTCCAGCCATGTATTTATTCACAGACATCTAGACCATTTTTGCCATGGGAGAGGCCCTGGGCTAGACACCAGACTACTCAGGGAGGCAGACAGAAAGGTCCCTGTATTCAAATGATGGAAAATGATGGGTACGAATAAAAATTCTAAACTGTCAGGGTCAAGGTCATGAAAGGGAGAAACACCCTGGGAGGGGGTGGGGCAGGGCTATGAGAAGCTGACATAAATCCTCAGGAGAAGCCAGGAGGAGCCCCCGGGGGCATGTATGAATGTCCAGTTCCTAAACCTCCTCTGCAGTCCTGTAGGTGGGAACTTTGATACTCAGGGATCGAAGTAAGCAAGGACTTTGTGAAGGCCCCTGTCTTTCCTGTCTCTGAGGCCATGTCTGAACATGTGAGACCTCAGGTATGTCTTTTGGGGGCTCCATGGGTGGGAGTCAGATGTAATGAAACCAAAACCCTGTCTAGAAGGAGGAGGAGGCAAGTGAAAGGGACCTTTGCAGAGACAAGTCGGAATTTCATCGTGGGCAGACTCGGGTTCACTTCCTGCCTCGGCTGGGTTTCATCATCTGTAAAACGGGTTCATTCTCAGTGGGAGGCTCTTACTCACAGAAGCATGAAGTCAATGAAAGCTTGCTGGCCCAAAGGAAGTGCTTAGTGTGCACTTGTAGGAGGAGAAGGAAGGACGATAAGGCTGAGAATCACATTTAGAAATCTCATGAAAGTGGTTTACTTATTCAGTTTGTTCCAAGACGAAGGGGCAGAATGAACTTGGGGGTTTTCAGTTCAGATTGAGGATGAGAAGATGCACATTAAATCCTCCTCCCCTGTGTTCCTTGTGCCTGGGTGTTAGGTAAGGGCAACGTGACCTTGGATAAGTCATTTTATGCCTCTGTGGAAATTTTGTTCCCAGAAATCTGAATATATGGTCCACTCAGGGTCCCCATGTGCTGCCCACTGACAGAGAAGGAAGTCAGACCTGGTGTTTTAGGGGTCGTGGGGCTCCAAAGGGGCTCCCAACACAAGGAAGTAGGCTGTAGATGCCCAAGATCCTATCTTTCCAGAAAGGAGGTCTTATCTCAATCTGATCCTGTCCTGAGAATGAGGAACCTGTGGTCTGACTTCAGCTGAACTGGCCAGAACAGGAACCTGTGCCTTCTCAGCACAGGTCACCCTGAACCAGGCCCCAGGCTCCCAGTTTCAGTTTCCGATTTGGTTGCAGAAAGGAACATCCTCCAGGTCAGCTCAGGGTCCTGGAGCCTCATCTCCTTCCAGCTGCCCAAGGACACTGCTGCCTGACCATCTGAAAGGGTCTTTCAGCTCTGGGCATTCCGGGCCTTTGTCCAGCCTGCCTGATAGAGGTGGCCCAGCCTCACCAAGGGGCAAAGCCACTTGGGAAGAACCCTGGTAGGTTTCATCAGAGGCCAGGATTAGGACGCTCCACCACCCACCTTCATTTCCTGTCATCTGTGACTGGACATTGGAAACAGAAAGCTGAGGATCAGAGAGGTCAAGTGATTTGTCCCAGGCCACACTGGGAATTATTTGACTGTTGGTGATGGTGAGATTTTAAACCCACACCCCACAGCAACATTAAATACACTTGACCTGGAAACAGTGATGAACATAAGCATTTTGTTTTTCATTGTATCTTTCTTTGCTAAAAGTATTTTAGTATCAATTGCCTCCCTGGCTCCCACTTCCTACAAAGGATGCATCTTCCAAATCTGAGCTGGCCAGTACAGTAGCCACTGGCCACAGGTGATAATGAGCATTTGAAATGTGGCTGGTCCAAATTCAGAAGGCACTCTGGTAGCATGGTGGCTAAGTGCTCATTTGTTCAAAGGTCAACAGTTTGAATCCACCCACTGCTCTGCAAAAGATTTAGCAATCTGTTTCCATCAATATACAGCCTCCAGAGCCCTCGAGACATTTCTACTCTATCCTATAAGATTGCTATGGGTCAGAATCAACTCAACAGCAATGGATTTGGTCATTTTCAGGTGAGTAAGGAGCTCTGGTAGCATAGTGGTTACGAATTGGGCTGTGAACCTTAAGGTCAGCAGTTCAAAACTACCAGCCGCTCCGTGGGAGAAAGATGAGGCTTTCTGCTCCCGTAAAGATTTACAGTCTCGGGAACCCTGTACAGGGTCGCTATGGGTTGGAACCGACTCCATGGCACATAACAACAACATAAAACACACACTGGATTTCAAAGACATGATGTGGGAGGAAGGGAGAGAATGTAAAAACGGCGTACTGATTTTTGTATTGTTGATCATATGTGGAAATGATGATATTTTGGACATGTTAGTGTTGTTGTTAAGTGCCATCAAGTCAGTTCCAACACATAGTGACCCTATCTATATAGGGTTTCCGAGGAGAAATTCAAATCAAACTTGCAGTCTAGTACTTATCATATAGTGCCGCTCCAGGGCGCCATTTTGGAGTAAATTTTATTTACTGGAGTAAATAAAATAAAAGGTGAAAATGAATTCCACCTGTCACTTTCAATTTAAAAAAAAAAAAAAAAAAAGTGTGACTAATAGAAAAATTTAGAGCGCTTGCATGATGCAAATGGTTAACAAGCTCAATGCTAACAGTAAGGCTGAAGATTCGAGTTCTCCCAGAGGTGCCTTGTAAGAAAGACCTGGGGATCCCCTTCCAGAAAAGCAGTCATTGAAAACCATATGGAGAGAATGTAGAAATGGAGCAGCTGAGGACTCTAGACTCATGGAAAGAGAAAGGTTTTGTGCAGGCAGCCAGGTGCTGGTGGGTAGGAAGCAGGCTTACAGAATGTGCCCTTTGGTTGTTTAAATGATTCTATATTCCTGACTGTTGAATGATGATACACGGAGGCTCTTGTAATCCTTGCAATTAAACAATAAGTGTAAAACCAATGTTCTCCCATGTAAACTATCACTCAATTCACAATAAAAACTTAAAAAACAAACAAACAAAAACCCTATGGAGCACAGATCTACTCTGCCACACAGAGTCGGTGGAATCAAACATTTGAAGGTGTGTGTGTGTGTGTGTGTGGAGGAGGGAGTCAGTTCTGTTGGTTAGCACTGCTTCACAGTGTCCTATGGCAGGGACAATGAGGGAGCCTGAGGATGGATTTGCTGGGTAGATAGATGCCATTGCTTCATGGGCATGCTTTCCCAGGGAGACTGCATGGGCATGGATACTGTTGGAAGCACTGGTAACTCTCAATATATCGGTCCCACCTCATTCAAACACAAAGCCGGGGCTGCAAGGCGAGGACATGGGCTTTGTCCAGAAGTGCCAGACAGTTCCAGTCTGCAGAGCAATACCTGCTGGCTGTATCACCTGGGACAAGTTGTCTAGCCTCTTTGAGCTTCAATGTCCTCATCTGTAAAATGAAAACATAGTCTAGTGCCTGTCTAGAGAGTCCTTGTCATGGTGGTGTTGTGTGTCATCGAGGTGATTCTAATTCATAGTGACCCAGGCTACTGTTTCCAAGGAGCAGCTGGTGGGTTTGAAACGCTGACCTTGTGGTTAGCAGTCCAGCGCTTATCCTACAGCACCACATCAGGAGTTCTCAAGAGGATTAAATGAGACAAAGTATGCACATGCCTAACACAGTCAGAGCTCAAGAAAGCTAGGTAATAAATATCAGTCATGAGACGTTTAAGTGCATTCTAGACACTGAGTTCACTTATTTTGGGGTTATGGTGGGCAGCACCTTATGGTAGAGACCTGAAGCCCAGCTCCCTTTCACTGGCCTTGCCTCACTCACCTGGTCCATGGGTAGAAATGGGCGGGTGGACGGTTGGCTCGAGCAGACACAGCGGCCTCGGCAGTGGTGGGGCCCCGCGTCTTGTCAGCCAGGCTCTGTTCGATGGCCATCTGGACCAGTTCATCCTCGCTCAGGCTGCTGTACAGACTGTACTCCTCATGCCCAATGGCACGCTGTCCACCCGGGGCACTGATCTCCATCGTCATCCTCTTCTCCCTCTCACCCCAGTCTCCAGAAGAGCCTCTCAGCAGTGGAGAGGAAGCAGCAAATCAGAAAACCCTTTAAGGAGACCAAAACCATGCTGGTCACCAATGGTTACTGGACAGTTAGCAATCACACATTCATTCTTTTGTTCCTTCATTTGGTCATATGATCCACCCAACCACCAACACACTCATCTATCCATCCATCCATCCATCCATCCATCCATCCATCCATCCATCCATTTATTTCATGTGCTATCCATCAATTTACTCATCTATTTACTAATCTACTCATCCATTTAACCATACTCTGCATCCATCTATCTATGCTTCCATCCATCTACCCAACCATCTACCAATTTATCTATCTATCCAAGCACCCCAACTTCCAGCCCCTACCCACCCATCTATCCATCTTCATGCTTCCATCTCCACATATCCACCCATCCATATGGTCATCCTTTCATCCATCCATCTATCTATCTATCCATCCACCATCCATCCAAGCTCACCTTTCCACGCCTATGAATATGTCCATTAACTGAATGATTGTTGAGCACCTACTCTGTATCAGGGACCCTTTGTGCACTGGGAGTGCAACTATGATCCCAACAGATAAATATCCCTGCCCTCTTGGAGTTTACACTGCCCTGTTTGCATTCCTGTCTTCCAGTCATCCACCTCCACCCTATCCTCACATTTCTCCATTTCTCTACTTGTGCTGGGGCTGAGCATACTAGAGATAGGTCAGTCACTACTTGAGATGGCAAAACCAATCATTAATTCCAGGGACTTTCATCTAAAGAAATGCCTGAAGGGAGAAATAGACTTTCGCTGAGTTGACTACTTTTAAGAGAAGAAATCAAATCAACTAAGCCTGACTTTCGGTTTGAATGAGTAACATTCAGTGTGGCTTCAGGCCAGTGATTCTGTTCTCTGAGGTCTTTTGTAAGTAACACAGAAGACAGTGTAAAACTTAGGTTTTTTTGGCAAGTATTCACTCCCCACCCCTTGGGAGTCACATGACTTGCTCTGACCAGTGGATATTGGTGAACATGATGTAGGTAGGGATTTGACATGGACCTGCTCAATGGGGTTAGCTCTTGCACTTCAACCATCACTAAGAGAGGGACGTCCCTGTCTAGAGTCATTGTTCCTTCAGCCTGGACTGCAGGGTGAACTCATGTGGGGCGCCTTGAGCCCAACCTTCACGGAGGAGCCTAGCCCAGCAGGACCTGAAGCCTGTAGGTGAGTTTACCAACCAGGGCTGACCTGGGGCATGTGGTCTCCAATCAACCTGAGCATGAAATCAATGCTTGTTTCAGAGCTTTGTTTTAAGGCAACTTTCTCTAGTAAACTGACACCCAAAGGATTAGTCTAACCAGGCACTTCACAAAGAGGATCTCCAAATAAACACTAAACAAGTGCAAAGTAAACTCAACATATGACTCGATTAATTTCATTCGAGTTTGGGGAAATCCAAATGAAAACACCAAGGTCATTCCACCCCTGTTGTTGTTGCTGTTGTTAAGTGCCATTGAGTCGGTTCCAACTCACAGTGACCCTGTATAGGGTTTCCAATAAGCAGCTCGTGTGTTTGAACCACCGACCTTGTGGTTCAAACCAATTTGGTGGTCCAGTGCTTTATTCCATGACAACATACCCTCCAAATCCAAACCAAATCCACCGCCATCCAATGTACGATTCCAACACATCATGACCCATGTTGTTGTTAAGTGCCGTGGAGTCAGTCTTAACCAGACTGCCATGTCCTTCTCCTTCAGAGCAGCTGGGGGGTCAAAACCTTGATCTTTAGGTTCACAACGGAATACTTTAACTACTGAGTCACCAGTACTCCTTCACACTATCCATATGACTCAAATAAAAAATGGTAAAATATCTAGTGCTGGGAGATGCGGAGCAAGGAGAATTCTGTTGTCACTGGCAGGAGTGTAACATTGGTAAAACCACTTTGGAAAATTGATGCTATTTGCTAACATGGAAATACACCTGCATGCCTGGCCTATGACTTAAACATTCCACTCCTAGATATATGCCTAAAATGCATGTAGAACAACAGATAAGCACAAGAGCATTCAGAGTTGTACTAGTCATAATAAACCCAACTGGAAACTCCCCAAAGGTTCATTTGGGTGTTCAATGGAGTGGATGAATACATTGTGGTATGTTCCCAGAATGGCTGGCATATACCCACGCAATGAACAAACAGCACCTACACAGACCAGCAGGATGAATCTCACAAACACTACTGAGCGAAAGAAGCCAGATAATAAAGAACATATATATATGATTCAATTTTTACAAAGTTCAAGCACAGGCAACAACCTTAAAGAGAAATTGAACCCTGATGCACAAACCTTAAAGTCTACGCTGACTGAAGTAAGTCAATCGCAAAAGGACAAGTATCCATTTTCCTAAGTGGTGGTGGTGATTTTGTGCCATGGAGTCAGTTCTGACTCATAGTGACCCTGTACAGGGTTTCTGAGGTTGTAAATATTTACGGGAGCAGAAAGCTTCATCTTTCTCCCACAGAACAGCTGGTAGTTTCGAACTGCTGACCTTGCGGTATCAATATTGCACTCTCGCCTGACCTACCTCCCTCCACTTTGTACTCAAAATTCCTTCTCATTCTCTAAAGACCTGAGCAAGTACATCCTCTTCTGAGAAGCCCACCAAGAGACAATCTTCTAGAACTTCTTGGTTGTGGTTGGTTGTTCGGTTGTAAATTTGACCCTAGATTCTCTTTCCAAAGGTCAGGACTTCATAATTTAAGCTCACTGAAGGGGGGACCAAATTTCTCCTGCATGTCCTGAAAGACCCACTGATGGCCCATGCCCTGTCTTCCTTGACAGCAGAACACGCGTTTCTTCAGTTAACATTGTGCCCTGACCTGTGAATTATGATTGTTCCAAGCTAGTCAGGGTCATTCTGCCCCCTTGGACAATAACTAGTCTAAGTGTGGTCATGGAGCCTTACTCTTGTCAAAGGGACACTCTACTGGGGTGTCTCTAAAAAGAACTTTGCTCCCTGATAAAAGAGAGACTCGTGGAGAAAGTGACTCCATGCTCACACCCCTACTTAATGCTTACAGAATTTGATGTTCAGAGCAGTGGCAGCCACCTTGTGACCAAGAGGATAATAGAGGTGTCAGAATGCATGATAGGTCTTCCTTGTTGTTGAGCTACTGAACTGATGCTGAGGCCACTAACCTCTAGTCTACTTGTTAGGTAAAGAGATCCTTGTGATTTCAGCCAATGGTTATTGAATTTTCTGTAATGTGCATCAAAAAGCTTAACTGATGATTCACAGGCGTGGCCAAGAGTCTTGAGAAAATACCAAGGCTGTGGTGTTACCCCAGATGAATGAACCCCAAAGCCTTGGGTTCACTCAGCACTGCAGTATTCAAAGTTTCCTTGAGGATTTGAGTGTACAGCCAGGGTCAAGACCACATCCCTTGACCATGATGTCCAATGGCCACTCAGTACTCCATGTTGGAGAGAGTGAAGGGGATCCTGACCCCAAAGTCATTGGGGGCTAAAATTTGGAGTGCTATTTTTCTCTTTTGCAACAATGTCAGATTTGTTTATTGTGAAGAGCCCAGGACTGGGAATTGAAAGACTTGGGTTTCTGTCCCAACTCTGCCATGAGCTGGCTCTTTCTTTCTCAGGCCCTGGGTTTGTCCATCTGTTAAGTGGCAGGAGTGGACTAGAACACTCTCCTTGACCCTCTGGTCCTGGGCAGGGGGGAATCTGTGCAGCCAGGTGGGGCCCCAGACCCAGAAGTTTAGGCCTGGCTTCCTGTCCCCTTCCTTGCTTCTATGTGGCTGTGAGGTTCCTGCTTCGTGCCGGTTCTACCTTCAGCAGGTACAAAAGCAGACATGGATCTGAACTTTTCCAGGGTCTGGTCCAGCTTTACACACACACACACACACCTGGCCCAAGGCAGGGGCTCAGTGCATGAGCTATTAATCTGATTGATAGATAGATAGATAAATAGATAGATAGATGGATGGATGGACTGACAGACAGACAGATAGATAGATAGATGGATGGATGAACAGACGGATGGACGGACAGACGGATGGACGGACGGACAGACAGACAGGTAGGTACGTATGTAGATAGGTAGGTAGGTGGATGGATGGACAGACAGACAGACAGACAGGTAGGTAGGTAGGTAGGTAGGTAGACAGATGGACGGATGGACAGACGGACAAATAGATAGATAGATAGAGAGAGATGGATGGATGGATGGATGGATGGATGGACGGACAGATAGAGAGGGATGGATGGATGGATGGATGGATGGGCGGACAGACAGACAGACAGGTAGGTAGGTAGGTAGGTGGACGAACAGACAGACAGGTAGTTAGGTAGGTAGGTAGATGGACGGACAGATGGACAGACAGAAGGACAGACTGAGAGACGGATAGACAGGTAGATAGGTAGGTAGACAGACGGATAGATGGACGGATAGATAGATAAATAGACAGATAGATAGATAGATAGATAGATAGATAGATAGATAGATAGATTGATAGATTGAATAATTAGATAGATACATAGGATGGTGGATGGATGGACAGATGGACGGATGGACAGACAGACAGATAGCTAGATAGGTAGGTAGGTAGACAGACAGACAGATTGACAGACAGACAGACTGATTGACAGACAGGCAGACAGATAGATAGATAGGTAGGTAGGTAGGTAGGTAGATAGATAGATGGGCAGACGGACGGACATACAGGCAGACAGATAGGTACATAGATAGACGGACGGACAGATGGACAGACAGGCGGATGGACAGATAGACAGGTAGACAGGTAGGTAGGTAGGTAGGTAGACGGACAGACAGACAGATAGATAGATAGATAGATAGATAGATAGATAGATAGATAGATAGATAGATAGATAGATATTCCTTAGAGGAACTGGCTCTTGTGATTCTGAAGGGTGCTAAGTCTGAAATTTTTAGGGCAG